CCACGCAGACATGCCAGGAAGGCCACAGCCCTGCCCTGCGCTGTAAGAGGCTTCAGTGAAAGGAGCAGAGGCTCCTTTCTCCTGTGCAGACACTGGTTGGGTGGATAGGGCTGGTTCCCAGGATCTGGTCCAACCTCCCCTCAGCAATGTTGCAGGAATGGGGTAGGTGGGAAGGGATGATGGAAGATACAGTGGCCACTCCGGCTGACCACAATCTCATAGGGCTCCATCAAGGCCCTTGAGCCATGGTGTCCTCTTCCTAACTTGTCCAGGGCTCCCCGTGGCTGCTGCTCCATATAGCTGACTGCACTCTGCAGTGAGGCCAGGCAGCAAACTTCCTGTTTGACAAGCTACCACTCAGGGATGAGCTCCTCCAGGGACAGGGTGGTATATTCGGATACGCACTGGGGGAGGACACTTCTCAGCCCCACTAGGAGAGGATGGGGAGCAAGTTGTTGGCACCACACTCCCAAAATACTCATCTTCTTACACCAAGCAATAATGAGTGTTTATAACATCCAGGTGGTATTATAGTGACATAAATATATTATTGAATTTGTGCTTACAGCTCCTGTGGACTTGTAAATATCATACAAATTTTAAAAATATGATCTAAAACCAGAAAAATTATGTGAGTAGTTCCTTTACATAGTTAAATGAGAGACCTGTGATTCTATTCCATTCAGAACCGTGGAGTACAACAGCTATAGTTTGAAGTGCTGTATCATAATGTTTAGTTATACCTGCACACACTCACACACCACACACACATACACACACATTCACACAATTATAGAACTCACCATGTGTCAGTCTCTACAAGGTTCTGGTGATGGCAAACTTCTATTCTCTATGGAGAAATATCCATTCAGAGACTATTCAACCATACAGGTTGTTCTCAAGGCATACTGCTACTTCTATGAGGAAATTAAGAGCATCTCTGACGGACAGAGTAGAGTGTTTTCCATTGCTTGTGCAGCACTGCCTTCAATATGATTTGGAATGAATGTTAAGGAAACCGAAATCACCTTCTTGTTTTACAAATGTAGTTTAGAGAGGTTTCCCTGTGAAATTATGCACCTCTGAAATTTTTTTCTGTTCTCCTGGGAATGTAGACATTTCCAAAGAATATGGTCTTCTAGTGCTGTTACCTTACTCAATTTAGATGTACCTGACTAGGTTTCATTTTTTTTCTTCTTCAGATCTTTTATTTTTATTTTTAATTGCTCCTAGATTTCTATTTGAAGTTGCTTTCATTCTCTTTAGGAATAAAACAGTGGATACTTATGGGTAAAATATATGAATTTGCAGAGTAAGACTGAAATTTCTAATACATAATCATATTTTTGTTTTATTGCTTGGAACCTCTCAATTTTCAGCTTTGAAAGGATTTCCTGTGGCAGAAGCTACGTTATGTGCTTGATATTTTTATGCAGTACTTCATTTAATCTCAAGAAAAGTATTATTTTATAGTACCCATTTATGATTAAGAAAGCTAAGAATTAAAGAAGTTATTCTTCTAGGAAACAGAAAAATTAGAATTTAAGCTCAGAATATCTACCCCCTGAAGTTTTTTCTTCTAAGCTATACATAAATCTTAAATTCCAACAGGTTAGAAATTGACCATAATATTCAGCACCCATGTCTATTCTTTCTCAGACATGGGTTTCTAGATTCATGAGAGGGCTTAGTTTGCTTTCAAGTTAACAGTTGAAAGCAGAATGAGGTTCCCACATTCTAATTTACTTTCTTCCCTTTACACTGTATGATTTCCCACTCAGCTGTACTTTCCCCTTCCAAATCGAACCAAACAGAAATGCTGATAGGAATATTTCCCAAAACAACTTCAGAAATTGGAAGTTTCTATGGTGAGAGAGATAGTAAAGTGAGTAGGGAGCTTGTTTGCCTGAAGCTGACCCCATTTCGATCCCCAACATTCCATATGTTCCCCAGGCACCACCAGGAGCAATTGCTCAATGCAGAGCCAGGAGTAATCCCTGAGTACCACCAAGTGTTGCTCAAAAATAAAAATAAAACAAGCAAAAACGTATTCAAAATTTCTTTATAGGCTGAACACCCAGCATGGTGAGTTAGCAAATACTAGGCCACCCCAAAAAGGACTATTTTTCAGACTATTATTAGCAGTGAAGCACTAATTGTTGTTCATCGATTTGCTCAAGTGTGCACCTGTGGCGTTTCACAACAAATTGCAAGAATTGCTATTACTATATCTGGCATATTGATTACATCATGGGGAGCTTGCTAGGCTTTGCCATGAGGACGAGATACTCTCGGTAGCTTTCCGGGCTTTCAGAGAGGGGTGGAGGAATTGAACCCAGGTCAGCCACGTGCAAGAAAAACACCCTACCCGCTGTGCTGTAACTCCAGCCCAGACTATTATTATCTTAGCAAAAAATACTAAAAATATCATCATAATATTTATCAGACTAAACACTGTCCTCCCGTTGTTCATCGATTTGCTCGAGCGGGCCCAGTAACGTCTCCATTTTGAGAGTTGTTGTTACTGTGTTTGGCATATTGAATACATCACGGATAGCTTGTCAGGCTCTGCCGTGCAGGCAAGATACTCTCGGTAGCTTACCGGGCTCTCCGAGAGGGGCAGAGAGGAATTGAACCCTACACAGCCGGGTTGGCTGCGCGCAAGGCAAACACCCTACCACTGTGCTATCACTCCAGTCCATAATAATATTTATATTATCATATTAAAATATTAGTAAAAAATAACAATAGAAACTATCTACTTAGGAATTTTAAACTTAAGCCCCATTTGTTCTGTGATCTTCTCTTTGATGCATGTTTAGGTTTTTGTGTGTTTTCTTTTTTAATTTTGACACCGATTTACAGACTTGCGGACAATATGATATTCCTGACTCCAATTCTACCACCATGCTCACATCTCTCCTTCCCAGTCCCAAATTACCTATTGCTAGAAAAAAAATTTTTAATTTAATTTTTATAGTTTGGTTCCCATTCTTAAAAGTAGTATTGGGTCTAATAATTTACATATATATAAAATGTATACACACTTATATATATATCTATGTCTAGATAGATAGATGATAAATAGATAGAGAGATATCTTCCCTCTTTATCACAAATGAGCCCAAGGTCCTTGAGCCTTTCCTCTTCCGGTCCATGTCTGATTTTGAACATTACTATATTAATGGGCTGGAGTGATAGCATAGCGGGTACGGCATTTGCCTTCCACTCAGTTGACCTGATTTTGATTCCTCCACCTCTCTCATAAAGCCTGGCAAGATACTGAGAGTATCTCGCCCGCATAGCAAAGCTTGGCAAGCTTCCCATGACATATGCAATATGCCAAAAACAGTTTAACAAGTCTCACAATTTGTTGTGAGACATTACTGGTGCCCACTCGAGCAAATCAAACAATGGGAGAACAGTGCTACAGTGCTACATTGTTACTATATTAATACGTGATTCATAATAAATGTTATATATACTACAGTTTCTGTATTTACAAATTATATTGTATTATTATTTAGGCAATAATTAGAGAAATTGTAGGATTGTCATGTACCAACTTGAGTTACTCAGGGTCTTAGTACCCTAGGATATGGAAAATATGCCCTATTTTATATATTCTTGAGAAATATCAAAGAACAACTTTTTCAAAAAAACACCTCCAAGATGAACATTTTTGCAAAGTGAACTTTATACAAGGGTGATTTCATTATTTTCACTGTATGAGAATAAACCCTTTTTAGAGATAATTGGGGCTGAAGCAATAGCACAGAGGGTAGGGCGTTTGCCTTGCATGCAGCCAACATGGCTGACCCGAGTTCGATTCCTCCACCCCTCTCGGAAGCCTGACAAGCTACTGAGAGTATTTCACCCACACGGCAAAACCTGGCAAGCTACCTGTGACGTATTTGATATGCCAAACACAGTAACATGGAGATGTTACTGGGCCCACTCGAGCAAATCGATGAACAACAGGAGGACAGTGACAGTGGCAGTGACAGAGATAATTGAAATTTTTTTGAGTCGGGAAGGTTTATGAATCTGATTCACCATAACTATTAGGTGAATGCTTTCCAAAATCATTTAAAAAACACATTGAGTGTAAAAGTCTTTATATTTTTGACATTGAGTGTTAACATCTTGAGCTGCTTAATTTATAAATTACAGTGTGAATTACACATTGAATGTAAGCACTTTGAAGAGACAACATGAAGAAAAAATTCAGACACACTGAAAATTTACCTAGCATATTGTTAAAAAAAAAAAGAGAAAGTCTTCCTCGAAAAAGACAAAAGAAATCTAGGGTAAAAGAAAAGAATGGATGAAGGGGAATTAGGGCTTTATTATATTGGTGATATGAATAAGTGGGATAGACACATATCCAAAAGACAAACTGAACAAAACTGCAATCACTGAAACTGTAATGTGGCTGTCCAAGTTGACCAACAGAGATGGGCTGGGATTGGGGTGAGGACTGAATATGGAAACACTGGTGGAGGGAAGTTGACACTGGTGGTGGTTTTGGTTTTGAAATATTCCATGCCTAAAATTCAACAATCAATTACTTTGTGAATCACAGTGCTTTAATAAAAAATTTTAAAATATGAAGTGTTCCTCTGGAAAAAGAGTTTAATAGGTTTGACTTACCTATTTGTAAATATTTTAATTGGCTAGCTTAAAATTCTTAATAATTAATTTCACAATTCTTCAAAATTTAAGTGAATTAGAAGAATCTATGTATTATTTCAATTCACCACTTTTTTTAATATTGAATTCTAATTTTGGATACAACTCAACTCAATGTACATATGAGATTGTTAACATGTTTATTAGGATACCAAGTAATAGAGGAGTAAAAAAAAAATTGCCAGGTTTCCTATATATGTATTTTAATGAATTTTAGTCTTCTTTCAAATGGTCAATCAAAAAAAGTTTTAATCCAGGAGAACTTGAAGTTTGTATACTTAAATGTTAAAATTTGAAACTTCAGTGATCTACTTTTTACAAAGTTTTGCCATCGAGGTTTGCCAGAATTTGCTTATGGCATTCTTTACTTCCTTATTTCTGAAAGTATAAATTACAGGGTTCAGCAGAGGAGTCAGCATGGTGTAGAGTATCTCCACAATTTTGTCAAAGCTGAAAACCAATGGAGGCCGTGCATATTCAAATATACATGGGCCAAAGAATAAAACCACAACAGCAATGTGGGATCCACAGGTGGAGAGTGCTTTCTTCTGCCCTTCACTGCTGTGTCCTCTTAGGGAGAACAGGATGACACCATAGGACACAAGCAGCATGGAGAAGATCAGGATGCAAAAGAGTCCACTACTGGCTGCCACCATTGGGCCAAATTCATAAGTGTTAGCACAGGAAAGCTTCATTATTGGGTACAAGTCACACATAAAATGATTGATGACATTGGGGCCACACAGAGGCAGTTGGGAAGCAAAGGCATTTTGGATAATGGAATGCAGAAAGCCCCCTGCCCAAGCTACCCCCATCAGAATGTTACAGAGCCTTGAGTTCATGATTGTAGTATAATGCAGAGGCTTGCAGATGGCCACATACCTGTCAAAGGCCATGGCTGTGAGGACAATCACCTCCACACCAGCAAAAAGATGAAGACAAAAGATCTGCATCATACAGCCTGCAAATGAGATGGTTTTCTTTTCAGAGAGAAGGTCAAAAATAATCTTAGGGGCAACGACAGAGGAGACACACACATCCAGGGAGGACAGGAAGGCCAGGAAGAAGTACATTGGGGAGCCCACGAGTGCTGGACTATTAAGGATGGTCACCACAATCAGCAGGTTGCCACTGACTGTTGTAAGGTAGACCAATAGAAATAAAACAAATAGTACTTTCTGAACAACAGGGTTCTGTGAAATCCCTAGGAGAACAAATTCACTAACAAAACTTCGGTTTTGCATGTTTTACCAGGAAAGTATCAGAGCTAACACAGTGGATATATAGATCTGCAATAGTGTTCTCGTCCTGTTTTCTTAGGGACCAGGTCTCTGAGTCGTATGTTAGTGCGGGATGAATGGTGGAGTTGAAAACATGTGCCTGGAGCTGGAGTTTCTTCATCCTCTTTACAACTTCTTGTTGGGGATCTGCAATGAGAGCATGAGAAACTCAAAGCAGACAATTTTATTATAGAGTTCATAAGATTATTCACCTATATGAAAAGTATCTATCGTATTTCTGCAATCAATGTAATGGAAAATGAGTTTGTTTTATAAGTGGTAGTGTGGAATATCAAGTAAAAATATAAAGAGATTTATTGTTAAACAGCAAATTTTAGCTCTAATTTTTGAATAGGTGCAAAGCCACAGGTGGAAAGGTTGCAAGATAACTCTGTTTGTATCGCAAGATCTGATCATTTTAATCATTTGCTAGAATCCACTGCAAAGGGGTTTCAGCTCATTTCTGGTTAGGTTGTTACATGATGGTGTATGAAATTGTTAATTTTTATATCTCCTCTACATCATGTTTTTTACACACAAGAATGGAAAACTATTTCTTTGTGTTTCTTTTGAAGCCTACGTTTTACTGTGCAGGTTTTTTTCTTTCTAAAAGTTTTAAATGATGTCTGTCTGCTTTCTAATGTACACTATCATGTTATCTGTGAATAGTGAGAGTTGAACATCTTTTCCCATTTGAATGCTTCTAATTTCTCAGTATTGCCTTACTGCTCTGGCTAAGACTTCAATACACTGTCAATTAATAATGGCGAGGGTAGAGAGTTTCCTGATGCATAGTCTCGTAGGAAAGCATTGTAGTTTTTCTTCACTAAAACTAATGTTCTCTGTGGATTTGTTTCATATAATCTGTACAATATTGAATTCAGTTCCTTCAAACTTCATTTTTTTGAGCTTTTATCAAAAATTAGTTTTGAATTGTATGCTAAGACTTTCTCTGCAAGTTTAGGGAGAGGAGAGAGACGTTGGATACATGGTGGGAGTTATTGATGCTGTGATGTAGTGTGGTGAAGAAGCTTTGCAAGTATCAAAAAATAACAGAATTTTTTAAAACTACATTACCACAATAGCACAGCAGTAGGGCCTTTGCCTTGCGCACAGCCAGCCCAGCCAAGCTGGGTTTGATTCCCCTCCGTCCCCCTCGGAGAGCCTGGCAAGCTACCGAGAGTATCTTGCCTGCACGCAAAGCCTGGCAAGCTACCCATGATATATTCAATATGCCAAACACAGTAACAACAATTCTCAAAAATGGAGACATTACTGGGCCTGCTCGAGCAAATTGATGAACAATGGGAGGACAGTGTTTTGTTTGGAGAGTGACATTACTACAATAAAATAAGTTAGAAAATGCACATGGTAGTTTTCAGTAGAGCAGGATAGCTATTTATTTTCATTTTAATCATAATCTTAGATTAAGTACAGGGATAATTTTCTCATCAAGACAGTAACTTACCTATAATTAAAATGAGGGGGAAAAAAACAAGGTTCAGTGGTGCTTAAAAATCATGTCTATCAGTAATTTATCTAAATAGATATGACATTACAAGATGAATTATCCATTTACCATAAAAATGAAACTATAGAAAAAACAATTCTAGACATATACACATCACATTATAAATATGCAGGTTTGAGTATTATTTTTTCCTATTATTTATCCATTCTATTATCAGGGTAAGTTCTGTTCTTGGACAATGCCTACACAAAAGAATGCCACCGGCAACAATAAGTCTCCATCAGAAAACAAGATTCTAAATAAATTATATCTTGGCATTGTATCAATCAACAATATTAAATAGTAAAGAATATTCGTGTATGATTCCTTGGTGATGAGATTATCTTAGTATTAAAACAGTAGGCACAAATGAATTCATTCTCATTTAACAAATGAGAATCAGATTCAGTCAGACCTAGGTTTTCAAAGCAGTTAAGTGTCATTGAAGAAACACTTAACCACTCTTCTTGGAGTTTCTTGTCCTATAAAATGGTAAGAATATATGAACTCCCTAAGCTACAAGAGTCAAATAATATAATTACAGACACCCTGTGTATAAATCAAGAAATATTATAAAATATCAATACCAGCATTATTTTTAAGCAGTGTTCAAATGCAGAAGGCAGCTAAAAATCTTAATACTTATCAGGAATAATATGCACTTAATCATATTATTAACTGTAATTTCAATTTCTCAACATCTACAAGTTCAGAGAAAGGAGACCTGAAATAAATTGAATATAATCTTATTTATAGCCAGTATGGATATTTTGCATGTGTGAAAATAGCTTGATATCATAATGTACAGTCTTATACTAATTTTCTTTGGTTTTTTGGGGGGCTACACTTAGAAGTCCTAAGAACTTACTCTCAGCTCTGCACTATGAGATTAATTCTGATGAGAAACCACAGACCATAAGGTGTGCAAGTGCCCTATCTCTGGATCCATTATCTTAAATTTCTTTTAATTTTTATATTTTTAAGTTATTCACCATGAGATTCATAGCTAGAAAGCTGTGCATGATCAGGCTTTAGTTATACAATGGTCCAACACCTATCCCTACACCAATGACCATATCCCACCACCAACGACCCCAGTTTCCTCCTGATACCTCCCCATCTTAAAATTTTTAATATAAAAAACTTTCTCAAGAAGGCAAGTCTGAGATCCAGTATTCCCATTCCCTATATTCACTTTGATATTACTTTTGGTTCTTTGTTCCTCTATAGAAAGATCACTGTTTGCAATGTAGCGCTCTTCTTCCATTGTTCATCGATTTGCTCCAGTGGGCCCAGTAACATTGTGAGATTTGTTGTTACTATGTTTTGCATATCGAATACATCACGGGTAGTTTGCCAGGCATATGCTGTGTGGGCAAGATACTCTCAGTAGCTTGCCAGGCTCTCCAAGAGGGGCTGAGGAATCGAACTCAGGTTGGTCGGGTTGGCCGGTGCAAGGCAAACGCCCTACCCACTGTGCTATCACTCCAGCCCTAGAAGACCACTATAGTCTTTCCTTTCCAGACAGTCACCTTTTGGGGATTCCCCAGAGATAGTTCAGGGTTCCTTTTGACTATGCTCACTAAGTTCTGAGCATCTTTACAGCCTATGTCCTTGGAATTGGATGACCCTGCATCCCCATGATCTAAAATTTCTTTCTTATATATTTTGGCAGCAAAATCATATTAAGAGCTTATTCCTTCTGCAAATAGTAAGTTTTAACTTTTCAGTGAATACAATATTAGGACTTCTGTAAAAAACACAAGTATTAGGTTAACTCTAAGATAGTTTTAAGGGTGGAGAGGAGAGTTGTATCAAAGGCTGGAGTGCAAGTATGGTCCTCTGAGCACCTCTGGGAGTGACTCCCAAGCATAAAACCAAGAAACGTTCCAGATGTGACCCAAAATACAAACTGTCAGCTTTACTGTAATGTTATATAAATTCACCTTTAGGTGAACTTATGTTTGCCTATATTAGTAATATATCATATTCAATCAGTCTTTTAAAAGCATAGACTAAAAATCCATTGCTAATTATCATTCCTGTGAATTGCCTTCAATCCATTGTAAATGCAATCCAGAATGATTATTTACCACAATGAATTATTAATTCTTTATCTGTCTTCCTAAACTGACAACATGGGTATTATATTTTCTTTCCTCTGATATCAGATTCATTTCCTACTCACAATATAGCTTTGCTAGTATATTAAATATTTCAACTTTTAATACTTTAATATTGCAGAATTGGTATTAGTCCAGTATCGATGAAGTATTTCTCCACCTTCATCATTTTGATGAATGTCTTGCTTTTATTTCTGTTTTCTTGGTGATTATATTCATGTAAAGAGGGAGATAAAACTACTACTGCTAACATGAAAACATTTCAGATTTTCTACATTTAATTGCATCTGATTAATGTGAGGCAAAAATACAAAACTATTTGCATATTAAGTTAACTGATAAAAATTAAGTGGGATTTTAAAATTGAATGATTCTGCTCAGCAACTTATATAAATTTTTAAAACTTGAAAGGACTTTTCATAAAATACTAAGTGAAATATTTACATCAATGCTCAAAATCTTGAAAGACACTTTAATTCCACTGCCCCTACATTATTATTATTATTATTATTATTATTATTATTTATACAGCCTATGAAATGTAAGATATTAGGATGAGGAGAGAATTTGTGATGCCTAAAAAATGAGACCATTGGAAAACATAAATTAATTGCTAATGGAAAGCTCAATTTATTCTTAAACTGGGCTGGAGCGACAGCACAGTGGGTAGGACGTTTGTCTTGAATGTGGCTGACTCGATCAACAGCCCATGTTTGATTCCTCCACCCTCTCAGAGAGCCCGGCAAGCTGCCGAGAGTATCTTGCCCACACGGCAAAGCCTGGCGAATGGTACAGTAACAACAAGTCACACAATGGAGATGTTACTGGGCCACTCGAGAAAAAATAGATGAACAATGGGAGGAGAGTGGTACAGTGCTATTCCAATCATGATCCCCTAGTTCTTTTACCAAGTATCTGAGTGTTTATTATATCACAAGTGCTATTCTGCAATACATTATATAATTTAATAGATACTTTCAATCCTTTAAAACTGAAGGTAAAGGTAAAGGTAAAGGCCCTCCCGTTGATCGTCGATTTGCTCGAGCGGGCCCAGTAACGTCTCCATTGGAGACTTTGTTGTTACTGTGTCTGGCATATTGAATACTCTCGGTAGCTTGCCGGGCTCTCCGAGAGGGGCGGAGGAATCGAACTCGGGTCGGCCATGTTGGCCGCTTGTAAGGCAAGCGCCCTACCCGCTGAAAATGCAATTAATTTAAAAAGTAAAATCTAGGGCAAGAAGGGTATGTTACTAGCTCAAGTGTATACAGTTAAGAGACCATATTAGCCTCAGAAGCATGGCTTGCATCTTCCGAAGTTTTAAAGGCTATACA